AAGGCAATTCACAGAGATACACCATAACCCTCAGCCCAGCGTCGAAAGTCCTGAAAGTGATCTAGAAAACAGTTAAGGGGGCACATTTAGATGAAAAGACTGATGACTTTCCCTGACCCATCTTGACAAAAACCAGACTGACAAAAACGAGACAAATCAAGACAGTGCACCCGAAGACAAGCAGGGTGATGACTGGTCCTATCCCATTTTGACGAAGACAAGGATGACAAAGACAAGGCAAAGCAAGACAGTGCACCCAGAGATCACTGTCACCAAGGACCCCAAGTGCCGTCGCACTCAGCTAGGACCTGGAAGTTCCGCTGCGTCCAGCCCTCCCAAAGTTCCGCCAAGAGAGCGCTCAAACCAAGATAACTAGAATCTCACCAGGTTCAGGCGCCACCAGTGACTCCAATTTCTGATGCACATTCATGAGGCTTCCTTACCCCTCTTGAGACCCAGGACAGGGTGTAAGGAATGTCTCATTGGGGCGTTATTTGGCCACTCTAAGGTTCCCAGATCTCGCTGGGGCCTCCAAATGTTGTAGAGTGTAACTGAATGGACAACCACTAAAGCCAGATTAAGGTTAAAGGGAGTCTTTATTAGCTGGCCAGAGACTACAGCCTGAGGCTCGGGGACTGAGTTAGAACTGTAGCCCCAACCGAAGTTTGAGCAGTCCTTTTTATAGGGGGGTCACTTACCAGGGTTTTTTATGTAAGTAATTATAGAAGTTGAATCAAGTAGGTTAACTATTTTTGAGGGCACTCTCTATACCTTTTTTTAATGGTCTCTATGGCTCCGAGCGGAGGTTTAGTGCTTGATAGTTATACTGTTAAAAAAGTTAAACAAAAGGGTTTGGGGCTAGTTAATAAGGACAATAACAAGTACAAAATGTTGCCCTAGATGTAATTTTTAATATGACTAACACAAGCTATTTTTTTATTTAAAAAGAGAGAGAGAGAGAAAAGGAAAAAAAAAAAAAAGCCGGTTTACAAAAACAGACTCATGTAAAAAAAATTTAAAAAAAGTTATTTATGTACAAGATCTAATATGCCGCCTTCCACGTACAAAATCTAATATGTGGCCTTCCACAGTTACATGAAACAGTGTACTCACACTCAGGTAAATGAAGGCTCTTCCATCTCTCCTCTTCTATGCCAGTCATTCATTATCCACTAGCCCCTAATTCAGATTCTTTT